TTCACTCACCTCGGCCTCCCAAAGCGCGGGATTACAGGCTGAGCCACCGAGCCCGGCTGACTTTTGTTTTTTAAGGTAAAAAACAGTAGTCCAAAAATCTGAAAACCACCCCCACAAAAAACGTAAACAACCTGACCCACGCCTGGGGCTACAAGTGGCAGTGGCTGCCCATTTAGGGAGAAGAGATGGGGTCCGGCCAGGAAGGGCCCCGGGCCAGCAAAGACCAGGTGTGCAACCCTGGCTCCAGTGCCGCCTGAGCCTCCACTTAGTGTCAAGGGCTCAGCATCTGCTTCATGGAGCTTTAGATCAGGGTGTCGCATGCATGGGTCACTGGACACACAGGAAGCACTTGCAGCCCAAATTAGGAGTGTCTCTGATGCCGAGACTTCCTCCTTGAATAAAGACATCACAAGAGGCCAGGTGTGGTGGCTCATGCCTGTCAGCTCAGCACTTTGGGAGGCTGAGGTGAGAGGACTGCTTGAGCCCAGGAGTTCGAGAACAGCCTGGGCAACATAGCGAGGCCTGGTCTCCACAAAAAATTAGCCAAGCGTGGTGGTGAATGCCTGCAGTCCCAGCTACTGGGGAGGCTGAGGTGGAAGGATTGCCTGAAACCAGGAGGTCAAGGCTGCTGTGAGCTGTGTTCATATCACTGCACTCTAGCCAAGGAGACAGAGAGAGACCCTGACTCGAAAAAAAAAAGAAGACACTTTGTGGGGGGGGGGCTACATGGGCCATCACGTGACCCACGCGGTGCCCAGGAGAAAGGCCTGCTGGACACTTTATGCCGAAAGCCCTGTGGAGATGATGCTAGACCGAGACCCTGGGTCTTGGGAGGAGACCACAGAGACAGTACACCCCTGCGGGTGTTTAATTATGTGCTTGCTGATCACGGAAGCGTTCGGTCCTGGGGAGTGTCTGTGGGAACACAGGTTCGGTCCGGGAAGATGGCAGGTTCTGGAGAGGGTGGTGGTGGTGGCTGCAAAACGCTGTGAGCATGCTGAGTGCCCCTGGAGTGAGCACTACACATGGCTAAGAGGGTGCCATGACTGAACTGTGTCCCCCAAAATCCCTCGGTGAAGGCCCTGATAACGGTATTCGGAGAGGGGGTCCCTCGGAGGTGGCTGACTTCGGTGGGTCACAAGGGGCGGGAGCCTGATCAATCAAAGGTCCCTTCCTTACAGGAAGAGGCCAGAGTGCCTGCAGGAAAGCGGGAACCCCAGGTTGGCCGGTGCCTCTGGGACAGCCAGCGGCCCTGGCGAGGCGCTCCCCTCCCCAGCCTGGGGAGACTGCAGCGGCCCCACAAAGCGCCTCCCGTCGTCCATGCCCAGTTCATCCGGTAAAGACAAAGATGACTGCCACCCCAGCCGTGACCACGTCGGCCATCACCCACATGGCTCCTCTCTCTGACCAGAGGAAACTGAGGCACCTGAGATGACAAGGGGTCGCCTGGATGAAAGCCTCACACTGAGTCCTGGGGTCCCCTGAGGCCTGGGGACCGCTGAGGCCTGGGGACCACGAAGGTCTAGGGGCTGCTGAGGCCTGGGGACTCCTGAGACCTGGGGTCCTGGGGCCTCGGGACCCCGGGGACCTCGGGACTGCTGAGACCTGGGAACCCGTGAGGCCTGGGAATCTGAGCCCCGGAGACCCCTGAGGCCTGGGGAGCCCTGGGACCTGGGGATTGCTAGGGCCTGGGGACTAATGAGACTTGGGGACCCCTGAGGCCTAGGGAGCCCTGGGACCTGGGGATCGCTAGGGCCCGAAGACTGACGAGACCTGGAGGCCCTGGAGACTTGGGGCATCGATGAGATCTGGGGACCTCTGAGACCTGAGGACCGCGGAGACCTGGGGACCGCGGGGGCCTGGGGACCCCGAGGCCTGGGGACCGCCAAGGCCTGGGACGAGCCCTGCGGGCCTCACCTTCCTGACGTAGGAGACCGCATCCTCCTCAGTGTAGACCTCGGCACTCACGCCACCGCGCCGGCGCCGGGCCTTCACCACGGGGTTGGGGGGCGTGGGCGACACTTCCTCATCGTGCGAGTCCGACTGCGAGTTCGACTTCTGCCGGGCCAGGATCTGTCTGTTTTCTTCCTGTCGGGGCGAGAGACAGGCCAGGAAGTAAGAAAGCGGCCATCCAGGCAGCAGCCCCCACGCCGTCAGGGAAAGGGGGTCTCTAGGCATCTCCAGGATAAGGCCAGGCCCAGAGCGCATCTCCAGCCAAGCACTGCCTCCCCCGCCCCCGCCCAAGCCACCCTCCCACGCCTTGCCTGGCTCTCCCCACAGCCCCTTCTTCCGGCCAACCCCTGCAGCTCCCCTGGGCCTCCAAGCCAGGCCCTGCGCCCCTGGACTTCAGGGCGTCTCCCAGCCCACGTCCTCCCAGCCAGGCAGCCCTGCCGGCCACAGCGCCTTCCCCCAGGGCTGTGCTCTGTTCATTCACAAGCTGAGCAGCACTTCCCAGTTAACGGGGTGGGTCCCGGGGGAGGACCTCGCCCCACAGTCTCCAGGCCAGCCCACCCCCTGCCAGGGACCCATCTAAGTGGGCGGGTGCCTGGGAGGGACCCAGGCCCTGTCTTCTGGCCTCTTCGCACCACTCCGTGGCTTTTTGGCCGCTGCCGCACAAGCACGGGGGGGCAGCTCCCCCAGGCACCAGCAGGGCGTGGGTGAAAAGCCAGGCCCCACGCTGGGCAGCCACCCCCTGATCCCACAATCCCCAGAAGCACCCAGGCTGCCAGGGTCGCTCCAGGGGGAGGCCTGGGTGGGTGGAGACGCTTGCCTGTCCCCCCCACGCTCGGTCCAGGCCTCTGTCACCGCCGGGAGGCCGCCATCCCCAGGACATCACTCGACACCCGCCAGCGCCGGGATCAGCTCAGTGCAACAGTCCCCTTGGCCAAAACGCCAGGTGGAAAAATGGAGTCCCTGTCCCAGACCATCCCTCCGCCCACAGCTCTATTCTCCCAAGGACCTGGGGCCTCAAGCCCCCAAATCCTGTGGTTCCCACTGGCCCCGCCTTCCAGGCCTCCCACAAAGCGCCCCTTCCTGTTCCTCTCCTGCCCTGCTCCCTACAAAACGCTGTCCTCGTTCACACTACAGTGTAAATGACTTCTTGGGCCAGGCTCCCCAAGAGGGCTGCACTTTATAGAGAAGATATTTTCAGCAGCCCCAGAGGGGACTCTGCAATTCCATGGGGTGGTGGGATCGCTTCCCACAGAGCACCCACAGGAAAAAGAAAATCAAGAGAGCCACCGCCTCCAGACAAAACTCACAGATGCACTCTACAAATATCAGCCACTGGCCATGTTCTAGGCACTGTTGTTGACATTTTGCCTTTTCTCTTTAAGGCTTATTTCTTATACTTTAAAAATCAAGGCATATAAAGCTCAACACAAGTTTGACATGACACAAGCCCTCACTTAACGTCTCAATAGGTTCTTGGAAGCTGTGGTTTTAAGTAAAACAATGTCTAACATAACCAATTCTTTTCTTTCTTTCTTTCTTTTTTGAATCGGGATCTTATTCTGTTGCCCGGGCTGGAGTGCAGTAGCATGATTACGGCTACCATAGCCTCGACCTGCTGGACTCAGACGAGCCTTCCTCCTCAGCCTTCCAAGTAGCTGGAACTACAGGTGCATGCCACTTCACCCAGTTAGTTTTCTGATTTACTACAGAGACAGGGTTGCGCCATGTTGCCCAGGCTGATCTTGAACTCCTGGGCTCAAGCAATCCTCTCACATCAGCCTCCCAAGTAGCCCTGGAACTACAGGCGCACGCTACCACACCCGGCTAATTTTTTTTTAAATTTATTGTAGAGACGAGGTCTCGCCAGGTTGCCCGGGCTGGTCTCGAACCTGCAGGCTCAGGCAATCCACTCGCCTCGGCCTCCCAAAGTACCGGGATGACAGGCTGAGCCACCAAGCCCGGCCAACAGAACTACTTTGCATGAAACAATGCTGTTCCAGGACCTGTTGGATGTCTCCCTGAAAGCCGCCATTTCCACGCGCCAGTCAACACGACTGCACGTGTGTGTCAACTTTGGGACACACACACAAACAGGAGGGGCTGAGGCTCTCCAAGCCCGTGCTCACAACCGCAGGGGAATCTGCAATTACGTCAACACTAAAAGTTCGATTTTCTAGAGGTGGGTGAGACGCTGCGTGGTAAGGGACCGAGGCAATTTGCAGCGGGTGTCTGCAAGCGGGGAGCAAACCAAACCCTGACCCCAGCCTCAGAGGCCAACTCACGTCACCATGCACACCACGGCTGTCACCCAGGGGGCGAGGCCGGTCAGAAGTCTCCCTGCCTGGAGCATGAGGCGCTGTCTCCGCCAGCCTCGCCTCTGCCCGCTGCTGCCCTGACTGACCACGGCCGCCCTCTTCGGCATCGGTCTGACCTTCGGGCACCGCTCCCCAGGGTCAAGTCTCCCTTCCC